AAACCCTAAAGCCCTAAAGCCCGAAGCCCCTAAAGAACTAAACATTACGTAGAGCTCTAAAGCCTTGCGACCGCCAAACCACTAAGCTCTATAAACTTGGATCTTTGTTGGGGCTATATTTAAAAATATCACTATTAATCCTTATTGGTTTCTTGTATAAAAATGTAAAATTAAGAAAAATATCGCTTTTAATCTTAATTGGGTTTGATTATCAAAACATGTAAGAATGTGGCCAACAAGGACCCAGCAACCCCCAGGCTCCCCGAGAGACTTGGGGCTTCGGGGGACTTAGGGTTGTCGCTGCCACAACGAGGGCTAGGGCTTAGGGGTTAGGGGTTTGGGGTTTAGGGGTTTAGGGTTTACGGATGTTAGGGTTTAGGATTTAGGGGTTTAGGGTTCAGGGTTTAGAGCTGGATAGAACGATGGTAGCCTAACTCATAAGCCTACTTACTCTAAGTCCCCTGAAGCTTTAAGTAGAGGTTACCAGTTTCAAGGTTTCGTATGTTGAGCCTGGTCAAATCGCTCCCCCCGACAACGCAAACACACAACAGAGACTCGCCCACCCAGGCACATACACCAACCAAACACACAACAAAACATGCACACATGCACATTCATGTTGTTCGAGTCGCAAGCCTTACATACAAGATCTTTGCAGTATGGGGGGTTTCAAGGCATAGGGCTGGGTCTGAAAATGTCAAGACCGAGACTTGGAATGTTTAGAGCATGCGAGAGTAACCACACAAAATTGGGCTCCGTACCCGACTTGCATCTTCAACAACGTCTCAACCAGAAACTCCTTACTGAATCAACGGGCCTTCGGCCAAAACCCCGATCCCTAGCCGCCTTGGTCTCGCCCTTCTTGAGTTCATCGGCTTCGACGTTCTTCAAGAACCTTTGCGGCTTTAGGGCTTGGAAGGTCCAGGGTTCAGAAGGCTTGTAGTGTCAATGTTGAGGTCTGCTGGGATCTTGCTAAGGGATTTCATTTAACTTAAAGTACCATAACAAGGAAACCATATTATTTGCTTACTATAGACCCCTATTATGGTATCTTACGTTACCATAAGAAGGAAACCATACTTTTT